TTTAACTTTTATGCATCCACTAAGTCTGAAGCAAACCCATTCAAAAGATCTATGATCCTGTTAGGAGAAAACAATGCCGTAGCTAAAGTTATCTCCTATGCTGCCAAAATTTATTTTTGTGTCCCTTGGTCCTACTACTCTCACCATTAAATATGAAAAAAATATGGTGCATTGGCACTATAAGTTACCTTAAAAATGTTAACATCTCAGTTAGATCTCCTTCAACTCTTCTTTTTCAAGAGAAAAAAATTGAGGACCCCCTCTTGTTTTATTTAATGTTGCATATGCAGTATTTCTAAAATTTTAAAACTAATTTACATAGTGGTCAGATTAGTACATTCCCTTACTCCAAGAACCCCACTCCTTTTCTGCAAGTTTAAAAAGGTCCAACTTTCATTTGTCTTTCTAGTTTTTACCTCAGTGTGTTCAAAAACCCAACTTCTTGTTCTGAACGTATAAAAAGGTCCAACTTTCAGTTGCTTTTATAGTTTTTAAGATGGTATTCATTTTATGTGGGTTTACTACAGCATCAAGTACATGAAACTAATAATCGTGTCTTTACTTCTCTGCTACTGTGTGAGATTCAATGAAGGTCTGTTCTCAGGACTACAGAAAGCTTTGTAATTTGTGTTTACTAGAATCATTTTCAGTTTTTTGATAATGAATGCTGCACCTGTCTCTTCTCTACTTTGATGGTCTTCCTAAACCTGAATTGTATGAATTAAGTTTTGTACCTATCAAAAAGTAAGTTATTAAACGTACTTAAAATCCATACATGTATTTAAAAAATTAGTTAAATTCTAAAAGCTTAATCTGGATGGACTCTCTGTATGGAAGACTTTTTTCTCTTAATAGTGAAACAGTACTTTTTATTGGATAAATATCCTTCTGTCTCTTTGCATGTCTGAATTGGACCACCCACTTTCTGTATGCCTGTTCTTCTCTTCAACTTCATAATTCATAATGTCCTTTGCCAAGTTCTTGTTAACCATCTTTCATCAGCTCAATTGAGATTTCTACTCCTTCACCTTTTGATAATCCTAGGACCTCTGTCTCTTCTGTCTTGGTTGTCCCTTTTTATGTCATCCTTGGACATTTTCCATAACTTTACATGTGGTTTTTGTCCAGCCCCTTGCAAGATGGGCAGATTTTTCTTGCAAGGTAGCCTGTTTCCTTGTTCACTTTTGTAGTTTATCACCCCAAGTGAATGGTTTATTAATGCTAGACTATTCTCTAGTCTCTTCTTCTAGGGCACCTGACACTTCCTCATCTCATCTCTTTTTTTTTTTATTCTGTTCTTTTGAGGGTGATCTATCCATTTCTACGATTGTCATATACAGTGCAAATTTGTTGACAACTTTCAGTCTTTCTCCCTGGCCATTCCCATTTTTTTCTTCAGTGCTCATGGCCCTTCCAAGCCTCATCCAATACCTCTTCTGGACTGGAACCTCTGTTTATTTCTTAGGACTCTTACCTGTTCTCCATTTGAACCTTTGACCACAAGTTCCCTGTACCATCTACATGTTAAGGTGTATTTTCTTCTACTTGCTTGCAAGAAATCTTGCTCTGATATTTTTTGTCTTGGATGCATCATGCATCTTTTACCACTTGGACAAGTTAGTTTTATCCCAGACTGCTCCTTCCTCCTAAGACTTGGGCTGCTCAGGAAGGTGATCATGTATTTTCTCTAGTCACCCTCCTTTCCCTGTCTTCTCTATATTATTGTTCAGACCTCAATCATGTACTTTGTTCTGTTTGGGCAGGTATCTCACTTGCACTTCTCTCTTTTGAGGCAATCAGTATAGTTTTTTTTTCTGTAAATTCCTCTTACTCTCCTGATTGACCAGTTGAGTTGAACAACTTATCTGGCTTTTGTATTCCTCTATAGGAGATTATGACTATTTTTGTCTTTTTTGTGTTACCTACCATTTTATGGCTTCTTATGATATTGCAAGGGAAACCACCATGTGGTCATTGTTGCTTCACAGAGATTACTTCTCTCTCAAAATCCATATCAAGATGGGGTTTTGTGCAAGACAGCTTCATCAGTTTATATATATTTTACCTCCCAGTCCATACTGCTACTTCCAAAAAAACAAGCACCAGATATGGTTCCCTTTCTTCACACTTGGCCAGCTCCTGCTGTTCCTATTTGTGGTTATCTACTGCACAGTCTCTTGATTGGGGACATTATTGAAGATGATACATAACTCCCGTTTGGGCCACACATCTTTCTGAATGGAAATTCCTTCCCCTCATTTTCTCCTAGTGGAGCGGGAGAACCAGACTAAGCCACTAGAGTGGTCATTATCAAGAGTCTCCCTTTGGGTCAGTGTAATCCCACTGCTTTGAGACCAACTGAGTACACCCTTTAATTAGAAGTATGGCAGTAGTGTTTACCTGGAAGTATATAATACAGACCACTGCTGGTGATTGTGACCAACTAAATGGTTTTTGCATTCTCCTTGGACTGCACATCTGAAATGATTCATCACTGCACCTGCTTATTCTGATAAGTGTTTCTCACATATTAAACATCTTGATTTACTGCCTTCTCCACACTACACATACATTATCTGTCAACCCACTGAGGTATACAGGCTGGCTGAGCAAACTTACATTCCACCAACCAGTCATTGTGACACCTTAGCACAACACAGAGGATCGTATAACTGTGCTTTTCTGCATTAGAACTTGTAATGGCAAAGAATATTCCCTGTTGTAGATATATGTAGTTTCTCATTAAGTGATACTCACTAGTTCCACCCCCACCCCTCCTAAAATTAAAATTCTTTATCTACATCTCAGTGTGGGATTCTAGCTATTTGTCCTGTGATGAGTAGCATTCCTGAAGTTAACATTTTCCCCAACTGAAAATGTTTCAGATGGATAATCACCTCTTCATAGCATTATCTCCTCACTTTCCAGTGTGTATGTGTCTTTTGCCTTGTCAAGAATGAGCTTTTAGTATACACAGTGTTCTCAAGGGGAGTATTGCACAGGGAGAATATGTCACCCTTTTATTATTGGAGGAATGTAGTCCAATACTGATTGCATCATAGACTGGTGAAGTACACATTATTACATATAGGGGAGGGGTTTTCATTCAAAAGTTTGGTGCATGTGTAAAAACATTTTGGCTGTGGCTCGAGGTATTAGCTATCTATTCTGTTGCAAGGTGAATATCTATTTGAAATGCATTTTCAGATAAGGAAAATGCTAACTTCAGAAGTGGTACTCACCTTTCTGAAGAGCTATTATCTAATGCACACTGTTATGTAAATTCCTATACATGCTGCATACCTTGAACAAATCTCCCACCCCTACACCATCTTAACATAAGGAAGATGTCATAAATGAAAATCTCCATAGCTTTTAAACCAATATAAATTATTATGAAAACTTTTTAGGAACAAAAAGAATATCTAAAGAAACTGGAAAAAATTTACTTAATCTGTGGTTTGTTCGTAAGTCTTCTAAACTGCCTATTTCCTTATTCTTCCTTGCATAAACTAGTTCTTGTTAGTTTCCATGAAACCATAAATTACCCACTTTATTCTCTATAGATTGATGCATTTAGTTTATAATATGCTTTATCCTTTGGTATTTAAGCTTTGCTTGTAGCTATTTTTAAAGCTGAAATCCATTAGTAATTCGTATCACGTACTATGAAAAGCTAAAAGGGTGCAAACAAGAGACTGAGCTGATAAACCCAGTTGCAAGAGAAGGTAGATCATATCAGAAACAAAACAAGGTTAATTATAGTCTCAAGGGATGATAGTTTCTTAGCAAATATAATCTTATTCTCTGGGATGAGCTGAACATTTTTTTAAAAATCTGTTTGTTGTTTACAGGCCAGTCTCCAAGGGACTGTGCAAAAAGTTTGATTTTTATTAAAAATTTTCCTTTGTGCATTGTATGAAAAAGTGTTACATAGTAACACTAGAAGACAGGTTTAAGATATAAAAAAACTTAGACACAGTGGTGCTACTATAGCGTGAGGTCTACCACACTATAGCGTGAGGTCTACCTCCCGCTAGTACTATAGCGTGAGGTCTACCACTGCATTATCCATCCCTCATGGATATCACACATTTCCATA